AAGTGTTCAGAGAGAAGCGCGAGAGGCGTACAGTACCTGTGTTAGGGGTAGATAGACGCGGCTCGTTTACTAGCAGCCCAAGTGACGAGGTCACGGACCCAGTTGCGGCTTGCCGCGTGCCATCGGCGCTCTCTTTCTAACATACATATTGCATTACATATCGCTTCGTGCACAGTTCAAATGATTGCAAAGAAGATTTTACGTATCATGATTATGTATGATTGCACTCTTTCCGAAAAAAAAATTCAAAGTAGACATCTCTCGTTTCCATGTGGCTGGTTCCAAGATGCTGTCCTGTTCTTAGCACTTGTGATTTCGTGTAATTTACGACAGTATATTTACGGCAAAAAAATACAGATATCGTTTGCATTAACTTAGATAACTAAATTATTACAAATTACCTACAGTTCTCCAAATATGCTGCAACATTTTCTCTTCACATTACGATTTGAACCTCACCGTATATAAGACGTTCAAGCTTGTCTAGATGCTCGATAGACTTAAGCAGTAATCAAAACATGTACATCGTGCAAAATATGCATTTAACATGGCATTGTTTTGAAGACAAATGTTGTCGCCAAAGCTTGGAGTATTTTTATTTGGTTGTTTAGTTACGTTGATCTGGTAGATTTTTCTATTATTTGAAGCATTCTTAAGTCTCACTTTAAAATTATAGCCACTGAGGTGGCAAAAATCTGTTTGACTTTATTATGAGTAAATCTGGCTGTTTTTTTATAAGCAACGCATAACGCCCACAGGATCCGGATTCCTATTCAAGTCTCCGCAACCTCAATTGATAAAACGCTTCGTTCAGCAGTTATTACCCGCCTAATGATCGCGACATTACTCCGGGAATAATTCAAAAGGCAACCTCCGCAATCGGGGTGGCGGTGACAGAACGCGCGATATAAACAGTAGCGCACGTTTTATATTAGATCAGTAGGCAAAAGAGTGTAGAATGGTATCCATAACGACATTTGTCGTTTTTTTATATCTCCAATGATATTTTCCGTTGTACTCTCGGAGATTTTTTTGCAATTTTCTATTCCTGACCGTTGATCTCAATTCAAGTTATAAATTCTAGGGATTGGGTCAGCTTGAAACATTTATTAAAATTACAACGTTTCGGAGACATTAAACGCCATCTTCAGGTGCATGTGACTTTCTAGAATAGTCGGTCAACAGTGTTATACTCCTGCCGTGGTGTGGTACCTTGGTACTTGGGTTTTTGCCTTTGGGACCACTATTTGAGCCAATCCAAGAATATTCAAATGTCTGTGTATGTGTGTATGCTCGGGTAGGTCGTTTCTGATGCAAATATAGCGCAGAGTTGCAAAATATACTGACTTTCTAGTGGATTTCACGATTTCAACAGGTGGAAACACATGGAGCTCCGGGGAAATCCAAGAAAATATGACCAGACCAGAGGATTTGAAAAAATTCAAGAATATCCAAGTAAATGTGAGCCGAAGTGACCTTTCAAGTCCTAAGAAAATGTCAGTGGTATACCCATCAATTCAGTGGCCCTACAAGCAGACAAAAATAGTTTCAAGCATATCCCACTGTGATCATATAATGGTGATTTTTTGATTAAGAGAAATACCCTGACAGCTTTAGCAAGTCAAAGCTACTCAAGCTCTAAAGCTAGTTTTATGGTCACGAAGAGAACCTCTGTTATTTTGTTAGAAAGACCGATGCAGAATTACATGTTTTCCGTTATAGAAACTCGTATTTGAAAGTGGATTGTGATGCACGATTGAGATCGAATTACGCATCTTGCGTTTGACTCTTAGAAATTCTGCCAAACACAACAAGTAAAAGTGAGAATACCCAGCATCGGTTCAAGGTCAATATCACACTTTTAACGTTGCAAAACTAGTGGCTTTGCACTGGGTGTTTCATTTCTCCAAAGTTATGATTTTCTCATGACTTTGCTCGTCTCCTGTGCATGAGCGGCACAATATATACAGGGTGGCCCATCCATGTGTGGACGGAATATTACTCATAAACAAATACATATTGGGTAAACCTATTAATGGCATGTTATAGATGACATTTGAGGGCACATTTCTAAAACATTGGCAATTATACAGGGTGTCCCAATTTCGACCTACATATCAAAGTTGGGATTTTTCAAATAGAACGCCTCAAATTTTATTGTATATTTGGATAAACCAATTCAAAACACGAAAATTGATATAACATACTATGGGGTTTTGGTAATTAGCTACTGAGACGTAAGGTGTTTTATCCAGAAAAACCGTCCACTTCGGCAACCCCTCAATCCGCCATTTTGAAATTTGGAGTGCTGAGTTTTGTATAAAAAAACCTATACACCTCAGCTTTTATTTTGTTTATTACATTTTCGATTTTTCATTTTTGCTCATACAGGGTGGTCAAAAATGCGAATTGTACTTTTTCTCAAAAATTTAAAATGCATCACCCTGTACACCTGTGCTAGTTTGGATTCAATTTTTTATAAGCTTTTTGGTGGTATAAACTTTGATTCAGATAAAATCACTAGATTTTGAGTTATTAAGCTTTTAATAGAACAACACCCCAAAATTAAGGAAAAAAATCAAATCATCCATGGAAACAAAAGACAAACGGTGGGCTAGTTCCATATTGCCACTAAGAGTACAGATTTGACAGAAGTTCTGCTTCAATTTGGCGTGCACTTAAATGGGGATTTTCCTGCAACTCTAATAGAACCTCGAACTGATTCGCCTCATTGGTGACACTTGGATTATTTATACATTTCTTACTATGTTCCACTGCTCGACTTGATTCAAAACGTTCTCGTAGTGTGGCAAATGTTTCCGGCCTTGAATGTCGCATATTAGGGTACCGTTGTTTATAAATACGAGATGCTAGGAAACTATTTCTTTGGGATTCGCCCAAAACGAACACCATTTCTTCTTTAGAAAAATTCATTTTCAAACACGTTTTTATTATAATGCTCACAACGCTAATTTTGACGGTTTGTAACTAATCAACAAGTTATTGGTTTCCAAGGATGATGCGATATTTTAGGGAATTAAGCCGTTCCATAGAAGACGTGCTAATAACTGAAAAAATAACCGTAAAAACCCTTATGTGTCTAGTAACAAAAAAAATGACTATAAAAAAGTGAAACCAAACTTGCACAAATATATAGGGTGATGCATTTGAAATGTTTGAGAAGAACTACAATTTGCGTTTTTGTCCACCCTGTATGAGCAAAAATTAAAATTCGAAAAAGTAACAAATAAGATAAAAGCAAAATGGGGGACTGAGGGGTTGTCGAAGTGGAGGGTTTTTCTAGGCAAAACACCTTATATCTCAGTAGCTAATTATCAAAACCCCATAGTATGTGATACCAATTTTCATCTTTTGAGTTGGTATAACCAAATATTCAATAAAATTTGAGGCATTCTACTTGAAAAATCACAACTTTGATATGTAGGTCGAAATTGGGACACCCTGTATAATGACCAATACTTTAGAAATGTGCCCACAAATTTCATGTATAACGTCCCATAAGTAGATTTCCCCAAAATGTATTTGTTTATGAGTAATATTCCGTCCACGTATGGATGGGCCACCCTGTATATATTATACCAAATTTTAAGGAAATGCAATTGAATTTAGAGGTTGCAAAAATTGATCACTTTCCAAAATATGGCTTCAATTAGATCGATTCTATACTTCCCATGCTTTCGTAACAACTTCTAGTACAAATTTTTATGTAAGTACTCCAAGAGCACCAACAATATGTAGGTTATGTCACGACCATTGGTACAGGATATTGGCTTTTAATCAAAAAAAATGCCTTCATATTGCAGCAATGCGCGAGTCTGTACACGGTAGCCATATTTCTTTGGAGCTCTTATGGAAAACTGTTTGTCAATATTGGTTGTTAACTTACTAAAGCAGCTCTTGCTACGTAGTTATATTTTACATACAAGTATATATACTATATAATATTGCCTGGCGAAATCAAATAATCTCATTAAATTACTCTACAAGAATAACGCTTGTATATACAGGTATCGCACCCGCAGTATGCTACCTGCAACTATTTTCCTGTTCTAAGTTCAAACGTTCGGGGAAACCTATGCTGCATGACATATATCTAACAGGTGCGTAGAATAACCGAGTTTGTAAGTGTATTAATAACCTAACATCAAAAATTACGATACATCTTTCCCCACCTTCTCTCCAACCCACACCCCTCATTTTTTCATAGTTAAAGGTTTCATCGAAGTCCAAGCAGAACTTTAGAAGTTATAGATGGGCTAAAGATCAGCAGACATGCAGATAGACCGACAGAACATGTTTTTTCGTGATTTACAAGTCGTATACCATCCAAAAACCATAATATCTTACTTTACGCGATTACAATAGTTCCTTGCCAGTAGGCGTGAGAGGTAAAAGAAGAAACATACGGAGTACTCAGTACTTGTGGTGTCTATTGGGAAGCTGAGAAGTCCCAAGCCTAAAACAATTGTAGTAACTTTGGATACTAGGATTAACAGGCATTCTGACGATGTATAACTTTAGTGAATTGTAGAGAATCTTGTCTGCAGAAAAGGGAAATAGACACCATACGCTTAGAATGTTAGTTTAGCCATTATAATCAAACATATTATTACATGTACGTTTACCCTTAATTTTCTCGTAAGCTATTGATTATACGACAAATTTTTATAGAGACAAAATCATAAATAATTTATTTACATATAAAATTATTTGTATTACTTTTTCACATAGTATCCATTGTTTTCGAGATTTTGAATCAAACGCGTACATAAAAATAGCGGCAAATGCTCTGTTATGACGTCAATTCGAACTGAAGCAATAATCTAATGACATTACCAAGAGAACGTACTGTTGCAAAAAGTGAAGGCCTTCCTTAAATAAAATCTTCATGTTTCTTGGCGTAATCAGGGATTTTGCCCACCATTCTGCATTAGAAATATCTTCCACTGCACTGCTGTCCGTCCTGCGCCATGTGGTGGCCTGGAAGCCCTCCCGATCCTATAAAACCGACTCCAGGAGTCCTGACGGCCCAAACTCTCCACCGTTCACCGCCAGACTAGCGGCGCGATCAACCGGAAACTGATCGCCGGAAACGCGCGAGCGAAGCAACAGTTTGTCTTTTGGACTCCGGTGCCGGCATACGCTGCTACTTTTTCTGTTTCGTTATGAAAATGTTCCTTGTCACGCGGGTCTTCCTAACTTGTTATGTTTTACTGTATTGGTCTGCTCATGCTGTGGTTGGGGTAAGTCAGAGAAATCTTATGTGTATCATCAGCACTAAGTATATATTATTATAACACAATAGTGGAAACAATAAGATTTAAAATTTCAAGAAAAGTGTCCCAGTCCCAGCTGCAGACTGATTCAATTTGTTCCCAATTTCTTTGAAGGATAACAATTATAACCTAAAATAAAAGATTTGTGAAAAGTGTCAAAACCTCCAAAAGCTACAATGACATAGTTTTGAGCCAACTGATAATGATTAATCAAGGAAAAAGAGTCTTTAACATAAAAATCATTGTTTTTATCATAAGCAACAGTCCAAATTTTGTGTGAACAACGAAGCTAAATTTCTACTAGGGCAATTTAGGTTATATTTCAAATAATTAGCACTAACGCTCCTTGTATTACAAAAATGAAGTGTGAGAGTAAGCAAGTATAAAAAAAACGACAAAAGGAAACAGTTTTGCATAAATAACGATGGGAGTTACTATTAGACAGATATGTTTGTCAATTTAAAAGCCCCAAATTTACAGCTAAAAAGACCTCAATAAAATATGTAAATGGCTATTACAACGCAATGACGTTTTTTTCGACAAGAGATGTTAAAAGATCCAATAGCTCCGATTTTGATATTTATAAAGTTCTAAGAATCAAGTTTCATTTTTAAGCAAATCCCTAAAGCACTAGCGTCTGTCGGTAGCAAATCAGAATGCTTAATTAAAAATTAAATAGAAAATTCAACTCGAATTTGATTCAGAAAGCTTTTTACACATTCCATCAAATGTTCTTCATCACAAAATAAAATCATATAAGGGAAAACATACGGACGACAGAAGCCGTCGTTTCATCAAATTCTAAGAAATTTCAAAAACAAGACGGTGAATTTTCTTTAAATTTCAGGGTAGCATTTTAGCGCCTTTGTAGTTTAATATGACCATTTTCTTTTATCTTCATAAATTTGTTACTGATGCGGATTTGATTCAAACAATGCATGTGTGGTTACAACACTTTTAGCGTATAACAATCTCAAACACTGTTATGAAATACAAGTATAATCTAACGTAAGTACACCTTAATGCAAAAAATGATTTTCCCATAACGTATGTCTCAAAAGTTTTGGTACAAAATTAATTGGCTTTTCGTATAAATTAGAAATAACGAAAAGTATCTACAAGTTCGTTGGGCGGGTACCCAAAGCTGAAACCTGTCGAATATTCCAGAATGAAAACATTTCACTCAGAACCGTTTATCGAACAATAGCGGAGTGCGCGCAGGAAATACCATGTCTGAATCTCCCGAAAAGTAAGAGACCACATGCATTTACTGCATAGAGGACAGAGAGATTGGTGAGAAGAGCAAAAGTCAAGTTGGAATGACAACAAGGATACTGGGTCGTCAAAACAGTCCTTATAAGAGTACCATATCGTTGAAATTGAGGAAGAATGGTTTTAAATGTTCAAAGAGACTTAAGCCGGCTCCGACGCAGTGAGTTTCAAGCCATTTACAAAGGTTCAGCTGCTTCAAAACTGACACTCCATTTTTCAATATTTTTGAATGAAATTCATACAGTATGTTGAGAAGATAACTGCCCAGGGTGCTATAGGAGCACTTTTTTGTTTTTGTACAAGTTTTATGATGGGTTGAAGTGCGCAGTTTTTCTGTTCAACTTCGCGATTTTTTTTAAAAGAACCTAGTGAAAAACATGAAAAAGTGGCTCTATAGCACCCTGTGGGTTTTTGCTTTCAGCACTCTGTGAAAATTTCATGCAAAAATATCAAGAAGTAAAGCGTCAATTTCGAAGCGCGCAAACCTCTACAAATCGTATTTTGGACAAATTTTGTTTACTGTTTCGTGCTGCCAACCCAAGCGTTGCGGCGTAATGTACGGACTAAGAAAGGACGTATTCAGATAATTTGGAGGCCCTATTTCATATAATATCGCGTAGATAAGTCGTTCTGCAAATAGGTACTCATAATCGCGATCGCTGATACTCCTCGATTTTAAAGCCGTTTTACTTCCCACGTCATTGGCGAGGAAGTATTGTGATCACGACAAATTTCTAAAATGAGATGTTATGTTTTTTTTAAGTCATATGAAAAACTGTATCACTCATCAACTTGGAACCGCTCGGATTTTTATGAAATTTCCACACGAGGTTACCAGTATGCCAAAGTGGCAACGGTGCTATAGGCAAAAAAGAAAAAGTAACAATTGCTGAAACACCGTTTTTGACGTTACAGGGGTTCCTTATCATTGACAGAAAAAAGTTGTGCTGCTTAAAAAGTGGGAGTTGGAGGAAGGTGATTCTAAATGTTACATCTTTGATATCAGTGAAACACGTTCTATTATTAAGAAACTTCTGATCCCAGTGATTACAGGAAATTTAAGTAACGAAAATCCGACGAATAATGTGCTCACGATTTGAAAAAATCGGTACACCAAGAGCCAACAGATTTATCTGCAACTGCTGACAGTAGAGAAGAATGAATTCGGATATCACTTCAGTCAAGTAAAGGGGAATTTAGCGTGGAACTTTAAAATTATCGATATGTCAAGGAAATATGTTTTTGAGAACGATAATTTGGTAGATTTTATACCTGCATTTTCATTTGAATTTAATGACCCGCGAAATATACCCATTTCGCCGTTACCTTCAATTTGGACATAATTGCCTAAGGTGCTATCAGAGCTTTTTACAAAATTTTGTCTTTGCGCAAGAATTATAGTGAGTTGAAATCGTTACTATTTGTGCTCAACTTCTTGATATTTTAAAAAGATCCTAGTGGATAAAATCGAAAAAGGGGATCGTTAGCACCTTGGGGACTTTGTTTTTAGCACGCTGCAAGAGTTTCATTTGGAAATAATAAAAAATGAAACGTAAGCTGTGAAGTGCAAATCGGTTTTTGGGCGAAATTCGTCTACTGTATCGTCCTGCCAGTCCAAGCCACGCGACGGTGCGTTCCGACTTAGAATAGAATGTATTCAAATAATTTGATATATTTCCTAAAATAAATTCAAGAACTCAAATTAAAATTCGTTTATTCAGGTCAGTAAACACAATTATGTTTACAAGGATCATGTGGTACATGGTAACAATTGAATGAGGGTCATAAAATATCTTATGCCGTCAAAATAAGAGGAAACAGTTAGGTAGTTTTTGCAAAGGAATAAGCAGGTACGCTTATACCTAGATTAAGTACATTTCTTGTCTACTGTAATAGGTAGATGGAGGTGATGCTGCCAGAAATGGATATGTGCGATCGATAAACAAACCACAAGACTGAACTGCGATTTCCAATGATTTTTGTATTGCCTTTTTTATTGCCTTACTAGAAAACTCTGTTGGGTATATGATGGTGTTTACTAGAACTTTACAGCTTGTTGTCTGGCTTCTTCTACAAACTTCACCAAAACGAGACACTGTCAACCTTATCCTCCGACGAAGGCGCGACAAAGTACAGTCCTGTGATTTGGTGACTTGTTCGATCTGCAAAATCTCGTCGTCACTTTTTTTAAGTTTCCTTAAACATTATCGCTTAGCAACCTCCAAATCAATGTAGTTATGTCAGGTTTTTGATTGAATTCACCATAAAACTATTCATTTTCTTTGGAACTGCTATCCGAATTGTTAGTTATTTTTATATCAGCTTTTTTTGGTCTGAGTTTCTTTTCAAAATTCTTGCGTTTGAGTCTTTGTTCCATCTTAGCGATAAGCGAGGTTGGGCTAAGCTTAGAACGCAAATGTATTTAGACCACATATACAGGCCGCTGCGTATTGTGGCTCACTACAGCTGCATCACATCTACCATGGTATGACCTCTTATTGCAATATTTTATTCGCTTACCCAAATGTATTTTGCGCTTATAGAGTTGACCTGCTCCACACTATTGTTGACCTCATCATGAATTAAACTCACTGCATTCGTAATTAAAATGGTCGCATATGGCCCTTTATTGTCCATTATCAGCCTTGATAAAAAAGGCACTCAAGAACAATCACACCAACAACAATTCTACAACACAATATCGACGAACAGCAACAAGGGGAGAAAAATACTAAATGATCACTTGCTCAGTACCAGAATAAGAAACGATTTACATTCTAGATCGCTAATCGAAATCCGCCTCTGTTATTATAAAAATTTACATGCACCCGCAGTTATTCTTTCCTCTTTTAAAGTAGCGCCGACGACCGTTAAGGGCCAGCCTGCCCTGGTTTCCTTTTCACCCCCCCGTTACCTCAGCAGATGGTGCTCGTGATTGTAGGAGCCCCGTTAAGTGTCCCAAATACTCTCAAGTGCAATTCCTTCGTATTCCAATATGCTGTCGTCAATTGAGTCGGGTACACTTTGCCAATGGAAAAATCATTATTTTAGATGAGGAAAGGTGCACTGACCATGTTAGATACAGGCATAAAGCAGCTATATTGTACAACTAAAAATTATCACTACTATTAGAGTTGCAAGAATGATTATACAGTCTTCTTTACGCAGCTTTGTATGCTATAAGAACATTGGCAAAACGCTCTTAGAACAGCTATGCAAGCGGAATGGGCACACCTAATAGGACACTTCAGTCATTTAAGAGGTTGTATAAGGGCTGCAGGTAACAGTTATACAACAAAAGTGTAAACCTCTTGCAGCCGCAATAGAACATTTGCATCAGTGCAATATTCAATTTTTGTCAACTATACAACTATTCTGTTACATGGTTCTACTTTATTGCAACCAAACTGTTTCTTATATATTGAATAGGCGAAGTGAAGAATATATAACTAACACATTACAGTCATCTTGTTTACTTACATATCGGCCATTGTGAATTTCATACACAGGTATATGATAAACTTCTACACTGTGATATAGGGCTATTGAATTACTTGCGCAGCAAGTTTTATTGTGATTATCGTGCAGTTACGCAATTTGTACGGGCTTCGTATTTGATTCATATTTTAATAATGATCAAAAGTATGTTTAGGTTTTTAAGATGAAAAACTGAACTTATATGCGTTAAATCTTCC